TTCAGGGGCTTTCAATTACTTTTCTGTGTTAAACTTCAACTTTCTGGCAACTGCAAAGGCTTCAACAAACTACTTAAAAGTATTTGTAAGTGTGATTTTGGACCCAGGTGTTAAAAACAAATATTGTTTGGCGTTTTCCATCTCAAGCTCTCTCCTTCACAACCTTTTTGACTCCCTTTATAATACGGGACAGCAAGGGAGAATGCTTCCAACCTATCAGGGAATTTTTTTTCCACGTTGAGAGAAGTTTAATTAACCAGAGGAATCCAAATGTTTGCTTCTTCGACTTTTCCTTTCCATGTGTTGGCCTTGTAGTATGAGTGATTGCAGGCCCTTAAGACTTTTCAGGTGTGTACAGACTTATATGGGATTGATGAATAAAACATGGTATTGTATTGGTCTGATTGAGAGAGATGGTGTATATGCAATTTACTATTTTTAAGATCTTATACATGATTTTTGTGTAGCAAGAAGGCATTTTTTTGTTTTAGATGACAATGGATGTTTTCTTCATGGGGTACCGACTGTACCTCATGGATTCTAAAACAAAGGGGTTGCGATCCGAAGATCACATTCTGTGTACTAGAAAACATATATTTTTGATGTCTTTTTTTTAATGACAATTGTCTCTAAAAGAATTATTACACAACATTGCTGTATAACTCTGATTACGATTCATACCATACTACTTTCCATTTGATCAGAAGTGGAATAAGGGGTGGAATCACTTTAATCCTAACGTATGAAGTCTACAGTTGTACTCTCTCATATAGTATCGACTGCAAACTGTACTTCTCTTTCTAAATGATACCTTAACATTTTGTGTGGATATACTGTGTGCTTGTATCTCTTCTGTGCGAGTGTGTGTGAATGTGTGCCGAGTGCATCTTATACAAATCTTAGGTTCATGTCCTTTAAAGATACAGTAATGTTCTCCGAGAGGTGCATGTTAACCAACTGTGAGCAAGTTTATTGACGATGCATATATGAAGGCCAATCAATGTCAAAAAAAGGCAAGCACAAATGACATCCAACTCATGCTTGGAGGGCGAGGAGCATCCCCTGGTGCATGACTTCTATCACTGCTCTTCTGCTCACTAAGATTTCACCTGCCGGTGAGTGTTTTTTTCTTTTTGACAGTAGGTGGGCGGAGCCAGTCACCATTGTATCACTGAATTTAATTGGTTACAATCATCGTCTTTGAATCCGCCACTAAACCGTATTCCACTAGGTCTAAAACGCGCGCACGTGGATCTCATTTGTCCTCACGGATTTGACATTTATTTGCCTTCGTATGCAAAGCTTTTTGCATACGAAACATCATAGCTTCTTTAGAGATATCACCCAGGTGTCCTGGTGATTTAGCACTGTGGTTTTGCATCTTACTCCAGTTAGTTAGAAAGGTTTGTTCCTCTATCGTGTTTGATTTAAGGGGACGAGGCAGCGTTTGGCTCCTCTCCTCACTCTTTTGACCACATGTAAAACACAAGATAGTTTTACATCCGAAGTACCCATTTTAATTGACATTTTCAAAATCATGATTTTTGTGGTTTAATTTCTCTTAGGCGGTCTCTACATATTGCTATTTAAAATGGTTCGTAAAGAGAAACTGAGATCAACCAAAAGCAAGATATAGAGAGACATTGATTAAACTATAAAGGGCTTCTTAATCTATCGGTCTTTATTGAATTGTGATGACCTTGTTGCATGTTTGTGTGTTTCTTGTGGAAAAATAAATGTGCCCTGGACTGGGGTAGTTTGTTTGACCTTTTGTCATCTTGGCTCCAACCCTTATTTTTCCCTCCACTTGGTAGCATGTTCTCCATTTAACTCCACCATTTCCTTCTGCCCAGGCAGCTCTGTGCTGTACTCATTATATGGTTATAAATGAGCTTTGCTGGAGCTGTGGAGTGCAGCAGAAATAGTTCTCAATGGCAGTCAATTTGCATTACCCTCATTTTCTGTAACTATATGTTGTTGCTGTGGTTGGCGCATATATAGACAGGCCTTTCACCAAGGGAGATCAGCTTACCATTTAAAGCACCCCTCTTTCGTCAGGCACTTACCCATCAGTTCAGGTCTCAGTCTTCTCCTTTTTCCTCCCATTGCTCACCTCTCATGCCTAATGAGAGAGCTAGAAGCAAGGGCGTAATTTCATGAGGCAGTTTTGGACCACTACTTTTTACAGTCTGAACACTAATGATATATTTGTGGGGGGGGCGGAACTAGACCAATAAGATCTTCTACCACTCAAGGGATTATTATAGATTAAGTGCTGATTGATTGAATTTTTCCACAACTGCATCTGGCAGGAAGATAGTTGGAAACGAGTGGTGGGTGACTGTCTTTCTTCTTGAGGCAATTCATAGGCTACACCTATTGTCAGCATATCTGCTATTCTTAAAAATGATCTTTCTATAAATTTGTAATGTGATACAGTTGGCCACAAAGTTTGACTATTATTCCTATAATTGTAGGCAGATGCCAGAATCCAGTGTCACAGAAATAGGTAATTTAGTGATTCCTAAAAACACACTTTCATACAAGCTTAATTGTATTAAAATGATTAATTAACGACAAAAGATACGGGAATGAAATAAAATGATTAATAAAAAGTGCAAATATCCAGGCTGGTTTCAATGTGTGCAACATGGTTCAACTTGAAATGAATGCAGCTTTAATTCTCATGACTTTATATTATTTGATCCATCATTGAGACGGTTGCAGGAGGACTGGTGTTTACACGGCCCATGGGACTTATGGAAGAGTCCTCAGGTTTGTCCTAATCCTGCGTATATTTGTCATTTTCTTCATGAACATTTAGCAATTCTCCACTTTCCAGCATTGTTGTTGCCGTCTTCTTCTCTGTGATTTTTGTGAAATTGCAATGCCAACTTTTAGGTGCATACTGCCACCTACCGTACTGGATTATGTAGAACAGGATCTAGTTTACATTATTCTGTCTTTCCAGTATCAATGCGATAAATGTGACTATAAATTCTTTAAAGGTGTTTTATTATTATTGTTGTATGCTTTTTCTTTAACTGCCAGTTGTGTTGCATGGTAAGACAGGTGGTTTAATTTGTCATATACTTGTGGATATTCAGCCTCAACGGATGAGGCTGACGATCTGGAAAGAAGAGGAACATATACAGACTGCTGAATGAAGTCATTGTAAAGTCTTTAAAAAAGTCATAGTATAGTATGTCATAATAAAATATATCATATAAAAGTTATTGAATGGTATGTCTAAAAAAAGGAATAGTATAGTATGTTGACAATTAACAGTATATGTCATAAAAATATATAATTATATAATATAATATATTATTTCACAAAAAGGCAAATGTATAGTATGTCAAACAAAATTTCATAAAAATCCTATTGTATGTCAAATCCTATATGCTCAAAGAAATTGCGTTATGATTATTGCTGCCTCCTTGACTTTAATTCTACCCAATAAATATATAAGGTGTCATTTTTGTTTTTCAGGTGGGGAAAAAATGCCACCAGACATATTAGCTGACATAATAGTTTACTGAACAATGCAGTTGCGTTTACTTCACATTAAAAATCCACTTGGAACAAACCATCATGGTGTATTTGCAGAATAAATTACAGGCAGTAGTGTTTTCTCTTCTTTTTTTTCAGAATAAAAGCCCTCATTCAGGGAATCGAGTTCTTAAGTGACATCTGAAGTTTACTCTAGTTGAAGAATGTAGAAAATTGATTGTCATGTCTGGCATGTGTACTAAGTGTTACATCTAAAGACAGGAAGAGTGTTTACGCCACTCAAATATCCACAGTTCTTCCTCTAAAAGAAAGAGACACTACACTAGCTGTGCCAGAATATAATGGAAACGGCTCCACAGACAGGACGGCCTATTGAGGCTGTCTGGGAGATCACAGATTTGATTTCTATCACACTCACTCACCGTCTATTTAAGGGAAAGACACTGAACACTACTGCTCTATGGGAAATGGCCTTACAACATGCCTGTGTACAGTTCGTGTGTCCCACAGATATGTAGAGAAAATTGCCTGATTTGAGTGCTTCAAAAAGCATTTTAAAAACAAATTTGGCCTCTCAAACATATCCTGACACCTGTGAGCCAAATATTGTGGCACAAAAATCGAAAGAAACTGTAAACGTATCAAATGGGAACATCTCACATGATTGTTACTTCTATTGTCTCAATTATATGTATGGACATACAATTGTTAACATGTAGATATTACCCTTATGACTTTAGGAATGGCTACATCAAATGTTAGGACTTTTTAAATATGCAAATTACATCAGAACCAAACATTTAAGTTGACTGGCCATAGCACCGAAACAAAAGCACATTGTTTTGTATAAAGGGACCAAAGCAACAATTACATTAATATTATTTCTGCTCATTGTACAGGCAGCATTATACTGTGGCATGTGTGCCAGTATTTCAAAAACTCATGGTGCTATGATCTATAACGTTAATGTGACTGCTACATTGCGACCATGGTGATAAATTGCCTCAATAAAATACAAAACGTTGATGAAAGCAATATCAAAACACCTTCAGGTACTGTAGATTACACTACAACAAGCTTTTTGCATAAAAATGTGGGACCCTGACTGAGGTCCTGTACAGTATCTCAAAATATAAAAGCTTCTTTTCACATTTCACAACAAGTGTATGTAGGCCATGCAAGAGATTGTCAAATCATGCTTCAAAGACCCCCCCCCCTTTGTCATCAGGTATCATAATCTCTCCCCGGCATTGTTGAAGTCAGTGGCACTCAGAGAATACAAAAGATTCAAAGTAGCAGGATTCCCTTTTTACAAGCATTAGTAGTGGGATCCAAGTCTGTGTCGAGTCTAGGGATTCAGAATAACACTGGTGCCGTCCTCTTTTTCTCTGCACTGGAAGGTGGCATGAGCCTGCTCCAGATCCTCTATCACCACCAACAGCCGGGCAGCAACGCTCTGACCTGGCTTCATCAGCTGAACATTGCATTCTGCACCATCTGTGAGGCAGAAAGTGTACAATGCTATCCAACAGAAATAGATAATCTTGATGACAACACAAGGCCATCCACATGAATAAAGGTCCCTCCACCATGGCAGAAAATGTAGAGTTTAGATGGCGCTGCAGCCTCACCTGGGTGAATGTCAGAGTTGATCGGTTCTCTATTGCTGGATGTCTGATCAGCGTCTGGCATCTCTACATATTTTTTCCTGAAATATGAATCTTATGATCACTGACTATTCTCCAAAAGCAGTTTTTTCTTTGCAGGGCAATGCATTCCTGTGTTGCAACATTGACCTCTAGTGTGCAGTAAATGAACTGCCTTGCTGGAAATGTTTACAGACTGTTTCCTCCACCGACCTGAGTTTGTCTCTGCCCTGGAGAAGCTGCTTGAATATGGTCTGTGTCTCTACATCAGGATCCAGCGGGTCACTCCAGTCACCCAGTGTCACAGCTGAGTGGGTTCTACTGCAGCCTATAACTGAGAGCCAGCCTTTCATTGAACAGTGGTGCTCCTCACACAGGTAAACATTGCATATCATTCAACTTGCCAATTTGACGGCGGTCTCATGGTAATACAAGCTTGTACATTTTTAATGCTAATAGTCCTGGTGGCACTCAAACCCCAGCACACAATATTACCCTCGGAACGCATGTTGTATAAACAATAACTGATGAAACATTTCTGTTGCTCAGGACTCTGAAAACCCACACAAGAAATGTAATCAGATGTAGCTTACAGACGGTGACTAAATGTAATTGGTCAGAGAAAATTGCATTATGATTCTCAGAGCTTGTTCTCCACTGATGCAACAAAAACATGGCAGCTACAAATTGAGGGTTTATTCATTAAATACGGATCAGCAGGAGCTCATTTGCTCTTTGAAGCCATCAACAAGTAAATTGACCGGGAGTGAAATAACGTATGTCAACGGTCAACAATGCTGAGATTATGTTAATTCCTGATGCTCCTTCTGGGGGAGTCGTAGGTGTAATTCAAAATTAGTTTACATAGATACATTACATCCTGAGTCCCAATAGAAGGATTTAGAAGTTTGTGCAGCTATAAGAAGTAATGAAAGCAGGATTACCAGCACGGTCCGCCTGCAGGCAGCAGGTCCACTTGCCACTGCGATGAGCCCCTGGGTGGAAAGAGGGCAGCATGCGCTCATTGTAGATGCTGACTTTCCTGATTGCCGACAACCACTGGTTCAGCTCATTGACATTCTACATAGACACAAATATACCATGAGGTGGTCTATTAAAGTCATTCTGAAATCAAAGCAGGAAAAATGTTGCTATGCAAAAGTAATCAACTAATAATCCTTGAAGTATTACAGTAAATGGTAAATTAAATTACATGTTTTGTGTTTACAATCTCTATATATATATATATGCCTTATTAAACGAACAATTAAATATGGATTTATCAATTTGTTTATTTGATTTGGACAGAGCATGTTAATGAACATCAGTGTAAAAATACAAGCTGTAAACATGCCAGAGTTAGGAAGAATGCTATACCATTGTCAGCTTAATTCTCTTTGATCTAAACTTTTCTATAACAAAGCCAAATGTCAAGAAAGTGGTGGACACAGCGCCAATCCAAGAAAAAGCATTTTCGTGGCAAACTGAAAAAGGTCAAGAACTTTTTTGGTGACTGACTGGTGTCAGTACCAAAGCACCTTGCACTGGATGTACATGGTGTGCAGCTGTCCGTCGTGGTCCTGGGTGATGACCTGCATTACATTCTGCTGCTGAAAGGCATTCTCATCCACCCTCTCCACGGCACACACACAAAGAATAGGGATTGAGGAGCGCACCTGCAACAATTTAGTCACAAACCACAACACCAATAAACAGAAGTATGCAGGCTGTTCAGGATGGATCGTGCTTTTGCATCAGGCGTCTACACTGAGGTTTAAGTGAGATAACATTTGATCACAGAGCAAATTATCGGAGCAGTGTCTTATACTGAGATCCTTTGCACGCTTAGATTTTAGATTAGGATGAACCATTTGAGACAAGGAGGAAGTGAAGATGAAATCAGCATTGCAGGAAAGGCCACTTTAAAGTGTAAATCAGCCACTTCCAGTGGGAGCTCGCTTCACTGAGATTGGAGTGGTTCAACATTGAGTAGAGGGGCCAGGTCATTGTCTACAATCTGATTTGCAATGTTAGCATGAATATCCACAGCCTTCAATTACCCCGCGCCTTTATTCCAGTCACACAAAGCCGAGACTGGCTCAAAGAGAGGGCTTTTTACTGGGCTAGAGAGAGTCTGCTCCCCTCTCCGTCTCCCTCTCTCTCTCTCTCTGTCTCTGGCTGGTGAATGAGAGGAGATCATTATCACAAGGTTAGGCACCACATGGTAATATTACCAATGATGTTCTCACAAGGAGATCAACATGAATACAATAAAGTGAGCTGGGGATGACTGAAATGTTTCCTCTTTTTATGAGCCAAGTTGATAAACGTCCTTAAAAGGGTAGACGCAGTGATTAATTCATCCTCAGAGGGCATATCAGCTTCTTATATAGGATGATTCACTTTCACATGACTTTGATTCAAAGTTTACTCATCTATTTCTGGCTTGTATACAAGACACGGGGAATAAATAGGCATCTCTCTGGCAGACATCACTTGTGTTTTGGCCCAGATGTCACAGTAGAAGACAGATTTAAGAACAGTACTAAGCTACATAGCAAAAAGATGAAAACTTGAAACAATGACTGGTTGCCAAAATGGCTAAAGTAGATAAACATATGTAAATATAAACATTATAGAGCTATAACCTACTGGTTCAGTACTAACCTGCCAATCAGCCGTCTTGGCGTAGGACAGTGTCTCACTAGTCAACCAGAAGTAGCGTTTCTTAAAGGCAAAGCGGGATAGCAGTTGTGGTCCCTCTGCCTTGTGTTTGTGGAGGTACCCCTCTTTAACTGTGACCGAGGGCATGAATACAGCCCTCTGTGGCACCTCAGACACTGCAGAATGAAGTTGAAATAGTTTTAAACAGAGAATGTAAAGAAGCACATGTTTTAGCATGTTCAAGTCTTCATTTTCTATCATTTGTCATTGTTGGTACCTCAGCCTCCTTCATCACCACATGAAGGACAGCTTCAAAGAGGCATAACAAGCCTCTTTTTTTCTGTCCAACAAATCCACCTGAAGAGCATTAAATGTCAAACTAGCCTTTAAGAGAAAAGAGTAGGTGTGGTGTGCAGGAGGCGGCTGAAACATGATATATCAGAGGGGGAAGAAGTTTCACAACAACAGCCTCGCTGACACACGACAGTAAGAAAGCAGGCCAGAACATGTTGGGTAACCAGTGTGGCGTGTACAAACGCCTTCTCACTCCAGCTCCCTGCCAGCTCATTAATTATGTCATTTCTTTTCTAGTCTTCCAGCTAGTTATGAATATTTCACCACTACAGTATTGTTTTGCTTAATCCTGATAGCAGCTGGGAGGTGCTCACTAGCAGCTGGCCGGTGGCTGATTAGCTCAACAGCATGACCTGCTTTCCTTTTAAGTTTAGCGGTGTGTGTTTACTATTGTCATCCTTACCAATGTCATGATCTATGTCAATCAACTTGTCCAGGAAGTCTTTGACAGAAGCCACACTGCGTAGGATGATGGGATGAAGAGGCGCCATCCACTGCTCCTTTCCGTGACCCAGCTGAAGGCCCAAGTTCCCGACGCTTTGCAATGCCTGGTGACCGCAAAGACACAATTTCCACTCAACATTCACATCTTCCACATCAAATCCCCAGTAACTGACAGAACTCAGCGTGAGTGACTGCATATCTCAAAGTCGGAGATCAAAAGGGTCCCTGAGGCCAAGCATGCTGAGAGGCCCTTTGTCCGGCCCACACCTGTCCTAGGGCGAGGAGGAAGTCCCTCTCTACACCTCTCTCTGATGCTCGGCTTTGAACCGCAGTCTGGTCGTGGCACACACAGAGGTAAAAATAGCATGTTCTCTTTCTCTGTAGAGGACCCATGGCAACAGCACTTCAGCACCATGGACAGCAACCACAAAACCCACACGTGGGAGAACAACAAGTTTTCACTTTTCTTCTAAAATGACACCCCGGTTTATAATGACATCGAGGGTGTTTATGATAGAGACAGTCGGGGGTCCCTTTCTTTCAAAATCATGGGGAGTTCTGTTCCGATGGTTTAATTTGATTTATTTCCACATAAAACAGGACGTTTGAGTGGGTCTACTGTTTAAACTGTATGGCAAACAATGGCATGGCACTACTGCATACTTGGTGTAGTTGGTAAAGCAATCCACAGATTCCAGCCTCTGGGACATAAAAAACGTGTTTTACAAAAAGGAAACCTATATTTATAGGTTATCAATAACATTTCCAGGAAGTGCAGTTTTTATATTGACATACAACTAAAAGTTACTTTGGGCAGACATTGCTGACTTAGCATTATGTAATTACCTCACAAGGTGAAAAGCAAGGAACGGCTGAGTGCTTTTCCTGCTCTTATTGGGCATCATTCCACACAAAAGCGCTGCTGCCTGCACATATAGTATAAACATTGCACGTTGCATTCAGGCTTCATATTTATTTGCTTAACACTTGCAAATTAAAATTCCTCAACGTTGCCAGACAGCATGTGTCCTCGCATCCTGTTTACTTTTTCAGACAAGTGTGATGTCTGGAATAATTTAGCCATAACAGTGTGTGTACGTTTGTCTGCATTGTGAATTGTACCTTGGCCAGCAGCAGCAGCGTTCTGCTTGTACGTGTATCAGCGTGCTGATCCCTCAGCTGGAACAGTTTAGGTGTGAGGATTGCAGGAGCGAAAAAACGCAGGAAAAAGAATCCACTGATGGCCAGATACTTCACATCCTGTAAAAATGATATTAACAGCTGTAATGGTAATGCATAAATGATTAAATGTCAAACAAACAAGCTCCACAGAGTTATTAAAATGCCTTGAAGAGGTGTTTCCAGTTGTTTTTCTTCTGTGTGTTTTGCTCCAGACTGACCTCATTCTCAGGTTCAGCAAATTGCTCCTCTACTCTCTTGTGTAGCTGTTTGAAGGCGACTCTCATGACAGGAGGACACTGATCGACTGAGCCCACGATTGATTCGATGATGCTGGTTAAGTAGCTCTGCAGCATCTCCACACTGCTGTCCCGCACCTCTGCCTCTGACACTGCACCTTTAAATGAAATTCGTCTTGACAGAGGAGGACAGATAGCGTAAATGACTGAATCCCTGTGTCAGAAAACTATAGAGTATACACAAGCCTAAGACACAGCACCAGCCGTTTTGTGTATAGATTTCTTTAAAATATAGTCAAGTTTACAAAGCCTCTTATCATATAACTGATAGCCCCTCTGTTCCTGATTATGTCATTACATGTGAGAGCATGCTATGCAATTGAGAGCGGAATCGAAGATGTCGGAAGAGACGGTAGACAGTAGACAACGAGTGGAAACAACAAACAAGGTGATGGCAGGTAAATCTACTGCATACAGACGGCACATTAGATCCTCGATAGACATCTCAGGGGGCTCATAGCAGTTGCTAAGCAACAGCCTCCCCCCTTTTTACATTCCTTTTTTTTCCATTTTCTCACATTGATGTCTTCCTCTCTGGGGTGAAGTGTAAAGGAAGTGGGCAGTCTCCTGTGGCAGCTTTTCCATTTTAACCATTTTAAAACATAGATTGTGAAGTCCATGCATGAACATACCACCATCACGTATCATTTGTGGCTTAAGACAAGCGTCCAAAGCAGATCTGGACTGTTTTTAGGTCAGAATAAAAAAAGAAATCATGGTTTGTGTTACCTTGTGCGGTTCAGATCGATCTTACATGGGTCCAGCTCAATGTACTTCTTCTCATCAAAGATGCGGTTGATGATGGGCTTCAGCACCTCGTGGAGATACAGCATGCCAACAGCCTGACAGCAAAACAATACCATATGTTAAATACATCTCATTTGCATCTGTGATACAGGGATTGTTTTGTAAATGTATAAATCTGCATAATACAAAGAGCAAACAAGGTAGAGTATGATGCAGCAAGGGGACCATAAGACATGTAACTAACCCAGTAGATGTATTTAATAGAGATAGGAAATGTTAAGGAAGAAAGTAGCAAAAGATTAGCCAAGAGATTAGAAATAATTAACTGTCAGATCATGCTTTCACTCAAAGTAGCAACAGAAAAATCAATCACTTACAATTCCTGATTAAATAAAACAACAGATACATCAATGCACCTTCATGAACTGTTCCATGGCCTTGGAGGCGAGGGAGTTGGAGCGAAATAAAGTGTTTGGATCAGCTATGAGAGCAAGACAGAAGAGAGATGGATTCGGTTTTTAGAAAATAATAGCATAATTTAACATGTCCCCATAGCTTTTGATAAATATAATTAAAAAAACAACACGGCTGACCATGAACCACAATGTCCCTGGTTTACATCTGGCAGGGACCTTTGTTGAACGTCATTCTCCATCTCCCTCATTTCCAGTCAATTGTCTGTCCACTGTATTAAAAGCTTCCAATGTGTGTAATAAAGCAACATTAAAGCTTTCACAGAGACCCTCATCAGGCACATAATCAACTCGACGTAAATCTCTGAGAGTGCTTTATTAAATTTAACTGAAAGCTATTAATACAGTGCGTGGATCCTTTGTCTGTTTCTGCCCTCAATTCAGGCTTTTGGTCTCACGTGTTCATGCTTTTTTTTTTCTATTTATCGGCTAAGAATTGATCTTCTTTAGAAACACAGAGCCCAGTGTCACAACAGAGGGAAGACTGACCTTGCTGCAGCATTACTTAAATCCTTCAATGTGGCGATACGTAAATATCCACAGTGACAGGACTGGGTTGCCAGGTAAAATATTTTAGTTTTAAAGATCAGAACGTGTGGAGAAATGTGGGTTTTTGAACATGTTCCTTTTCTCTAACCCGGCGCCCAATTTTAATGTCTGGCTGCTTGCGACATCTATTCTTGACCAAGCAGTTACAGTTTGGATCATGTGGAGTTGCTATGGTAACATGGGCACTATGCTTATTATCTCAAACTACACCAACTAAACCGAACCCGCAGACCAGAGCACGGCTCTGTGTGAGTTTGCAATGGGGATGTGGTGCGGAGGCAAAAACATGACTAATACAGACAACAGAGAAGCCATGAAAAGAATGTTGGGTGAGTAAATAATTGGCATCAGGGTATAAAACATAGTGCTGTTAGACTTGAGCTGCCCACACATAGATAACAAATGTTCAGAGACCTTGATGTCAATTCAGAGTTTAAATAGATCCCTCAGAAGGTTTCTCTGACTAATACAAACACTGACTAATAGAGATAAACTTGTGTATGTGTGTTTATTATGTAATCACAGTTGGTACATGCTAAATGTTTTGAACTAATATCTCTGCATATCTGCCGTTTCCGTCGGTAAAGGTTCGGACTGACAGTGATCTAACAGTTTAATCTTACTGGTGTTGTTGACCTCTCGCGTGTTGAGGTAATCCAGGAAGGGCACCACCAGGCCCTGGCCCAGGTAGATCTTCACCAGGGTCATTGCCACATCCTGCCGGCTCTCAACCGTGTTCACCTCCTCCAGCATGGTCAGTGCACTGCTATCCTCCACCTGGGGAGAAGAGAACTCAGGTCATGGACCACTACTAACATGTACAAGGAGTTTTTCTGTTGCCTGAAATCCAACACAGATTTAGTGAATTGTGGTGGAGTCAAATGCATTACACTACTAAACAAAAACAGTGATCCCGACCTCTGTAGGGAAGATGACTGACTCCACCAGAAGGTGAATGAGGGGCTGATAGTACACAGACGGCAAGATTCGGTCCTCCACCAAACGCACCTTCAGACGCAGCGCTCCCAGCTTGCCACTGGCAACAGAGGAAAATACCACAGAACCAAAAAAATATAGAGATTTTCAGCACACTTTGATCTTATCATGAGGTAGGCTCCCATTAAATAATATCATGGAAAAGAAAGGGAAAAGTGTCTATGACAGCAACCAGAATATTATCTGGAAAAGAAATAAGCATGAACTCCTGGACTACTTATTGTTCTGTGAGTGAGGACAACCAAGGACACTTGCACTGTCATTTGCACTGTTTTTGCAAAGTACTTTGTACGTAAGAAGTGTGTGAAATCCATAAAAACTGATTCAACTGTTTACGTATAATTGCATATAATTCCTAAACGATCTTAGAAAATGTCAATATTCTTGTAAGGTGTAACACCGATAATATCAAATCAATAGTAAACAGTGACACTGAGGGTTTGTTAAATGTCTGGTACAATATTATAACAGGCTTTCTAAAAACAACGTTAAGATGTCCTTGCGGTCAAGAAAACTCTCAAAGAGGTAGTTTTAACATTCCATAGGGGATATTTTTTGCTATTACTGCTCTTTTTTTTTAGGTGAAAGTAGATCTCTAACCAGCTTCTACTCCGCAGTATATTCCCCTTTAACTCTGAGTCATTTCCTATTGAACCTCTTTGATACTATTTATTTTGGCAGTTCACTCAGCTTTCTTTGTTCTCAAATTATCTCAAAGAACAGAGATCTGGTTATACACCTGTGCTAGTTCATTAAAATGCATGGAAGAAAGCACGGAGGGGAACAAATACCTTTCTTGAGTGCATTTTAACACACTGATTGCTGTTCAATTTGCATCTTAAAGAGGAAATGCTTGTCTTAGTTATGCAAACACACAAAGTCACCACACTGGACAAACAAGCAGGCCCATAATCCTCACCCGGCATCAACCTCATTGTTTCCCAAGGGAAGCAAACGAAACCAGCTCTCTAACGAAGGTGTCTTGTTCAAACAAGCAAAAGGGATTTCCACCTGTGAAAAGAAAGAATAAACAAGGATACAATATCAGACAGGAAAAACAACTTTAAACTTCATGCATATTTTGGTGGGAAAATACTGAGCTTCCAGGTGAAGCATATTGTGTAGTGATCACAACATGAAATCTATAAGAAAAATATGCCATACTACATAATTATTGCATCCTCACCTTTCCCAGAAAGTCATTTTTGCCCACCATGTCCCAGTCCCAGACCTCCACAGTGACAGTTCCCTCCTCACTCAGCTCCTCTGGATCTAACTCCAGCTCCAGTGTTTCTCCCCAGTGAGGGAAACGGGTCTTCTTGATAATCTAAAACCCAGAGGGTCGGGGTGTTAGGAGTTCCTAAAACCTTACATGTGTACACTAATATGAAATAAAATGACAACCAAAGAACCATCAATTACAATAGCAGAACATGTATCTCTGGCTCGTCTGAAACCAATACTTCACATGCACGCACATAGAGCTCACCGAGGTCTCTGCACTGTGGTTGTTGAAAATAACTCTTGTAAAAGGATCAGAGGTTCCAGAAATATCTCTTGGAGCCAAGTCTCTGCGGGCATCACCAGAACAAAAGACAACAGAACTGATCAATGCATTTGAAAAACTCAACAAAACTCCTATTACCTGTTCTGCAAATTGAATTGGTAAGCAAAGAAAAACAGCTAAAACGTTCCACTTGACCTTATTTCTTCAAACTTGATTCACATTCATCTGAGCATGTTTGAATAACAGAGTGTCAAGCTCTGATTGACATGCTCATTAGTGCCCTGCCTGGGAGGAAGAGATTGTAGCCTGGGACGCACAGATGGGGCAGTGAGGGGTGTGATAGTGGCAGTATGACTCAGGAGGAGAGTGTGGAGGCCTGCGGGTCGATGCTGATTCGATTTCAGCACAGAAACACTGATGGCATTGGCGGGTCTTCAGCTACAGCAATGTAACTTCTGACTAATTAACAGTGTAATCATTTTTAAACTACATAGATTATGTGATAGTTTCACCACTTGCATGTGAATGTTTAGGCCATGGCTGTCCATTGTTATCTCTAAATGAGAAATGATTTCCCCTCACAGCAGAGGCAGGATTTAAAGCACACAATGATGTTACCTGGCTTCAATGACTTGACATCGCAGGCTGATCTTCTCTGTGTCTTTCAGTAGCTCCAGGCTCAGGTGGATTTCTCCCTGGACTTCTTCATCAGGGTCGACCCTCGTCAGGTTCATCCAGCTGTCTAGTCCTGACCATAGAGACATTATTCATTAAAACAACACTCCTCTCAAAGCATCAAACATTAAGAGAGGATAAAAAACAGAAAAACTAAGTATGCAAATCATATTTTTCTAATGAATCAACTAATTGCTTCAGGACTAATGTCAAAACAGTTAGTTCTAAACTTAATTGAGAGTTGAACAAGGAAAGAATTAAGATCTCCTATGGCAGAAATGAGTTTAGAGCTGAACCGTTTAGTCAATTGATCACTTAAATGATCACCAAAAAAATAATATGAAACAATTTTGTTTAATTAAACGTTTCAAAGCAAACAATGCCGAACATTCCCTTGTTCCAGCTTCTCGATTAAGATTAACTTTATCTTATCTTTGTTTTATTCAATATTAAACTTTAAGTATTTTTTAAAATTTAGATTGTCGATGGGGGGAAAACAAGCAATTTGATGATATAACCTAATTAATTAACTAATTGTTAATCTTTATGTTTTTGAGTAATAACATATGTTTTGCAAAAATGTCTATAATGCCGTAGGCATGCACGTGAATTATGTGATATTGTTTTGTCAGTCATGTCATATTCACTGCATTCTGTTTTATTATTTCAGAAATATCACACATAGACGAGGGTACAACGTGAAGGACAGACTGGGGGAATATTCCTGTGAGTGACTAACTGACTCAGTGTATCGCCATGTAGAGATGAATCACGCGAGTGAAGGCCATGCCAGGTGGCTCTGAGGAGAGACGCATCGATATGCAGCAAACATTCCCCGGTAAACACTTTGAACAATCGAATAAAACTGCAACTTCATCACGACATACGATATTTGAAATGCCGTGTGTCGGGCCAGGACAGTGCAGAAAGTGCTTGGGTGCATGTCGAGGTAAACAGTGCGACTCATTTCTTGAATGTGAAAGCGTCTATGAGAGAGCCAGACGTTAAATGGTTTGAAGCCATTTGAAATGCTTTGGCTGTTCTCCTCATTTGACAGCGCTGCGGGCTTCCTCACAAAAGGAAGGTTTGTGATGCACAATGAAAATAAACCCAGTTTATGCAGACAAGCACCGGGATAGTCGTCATAACGCATGCATCAATGTGAGCGATCATTTTATAGCCTGTGAGTTACACAGTTCAACTCAACTCTTAAAATAAATGTAAGCAAATCACAAGAAATGTGCGACAGAGCACTGAGAAACATTCCCAGAGACTCCGTCTAAAAGAGGCATGTCTCCTCACCTTGGGTCATGGGAAGCCATGTGTGTTTAACCTATGAGCTTGCACCCATCCTGTTACAGATTTGTTCAGTCATACCTTTAGCTTGAGATCCAATGGCTTCTTTGCTCAGAGTTATCTTTCCGATGACATCATCATGGCTGTAGAAAGGGCACATTGAAAAAAAAAAAAGAGATTATTAAATGTAATCAATTGAAAACGCTTTCAAAGTTGTTTGATCTTGGTCGAGGTAAACGAGGTGAATTTGAAGACTGATTAGAGTGCTGGTGGTCATGAGAAGAGGAGGAAAAAAAACCTTTAATCACTCAATCTGGGCGACCATCTGCCTGATGATGTTTGTTTATTCAAAGCTCGGAGTCTTTTTTCCCAAAACGTTTAAACTATATGAGGTCCATGTTGGCTCAATCATGAGGCAAGTTAAGCAAACAATCGTGGCTTGAAGGACTACAAATCATCTGGCAAACTCCGTCAGTCAAGAGCAGTGGTTGGATGTGGAATCATTTTGATACAGCTTTGTATGACAGTGTTACCCAATTGTGTCTTCGTCCATGACATGAAAGGAGAGGGAATGGAACCCCATCGGGAGGTGCAGTGTGTACTCTTCCCCCCAGAAAGGACTGAGGTTCTTCCACACTGTGGCAGTCCTGAAGAGAGAGGTTTCACATGGGTGCTTATTAGACCTTATACGCAGAAACACATCACATGAATGTATGCAACAATAGAGACCAGTAGAGTGACGGCAGGAGTCCGTACCGGAGGGTAGACAGATCACATGCTTTTTCCAGTAATATGTAAAAGAAATACTGGGGTTTTGGACCGCAGGATGATTTATGGACGAAGATAAAAGAAAAAAACATGTGTGCCTTTTCAGACTTTTATCTTTTATCATTGGTTCTCCTATTATCGGTAATGCGTCCATAACACTAAGTACCGAAAGTTGGCACTGAATGTTTGCTCAGATATTATTATTGAGGTACTATTTAGATTATTATTTTGCCAATATTAGACCGTCTAAATAAAAACGGATTTTAAAGAAAAACAGGTGTATATTATTGAAAGAAAGGTATTGACAAAAATCAATATTTCAGTATCTATACCAGACATACATCATATTGTTAATAGGTTCAAAGGATTTCAAAGAATACCCTATAAAAGGGAAAATCTTTTATCAGTATCAACCTTTCTATTTCTAAGAGTGTACTGTACCCACCACAATCTACCAGCCACATCATCCATGAACATCTCACTGGAGGAGTCAATTGGCCAGTAACACTATCAGATAATTAGTGAGTGTCGGCAGTGAATCATTGCGCTGTTTGCTGTAACATGCCAGATGGAACAATAGCCATTGCATTCACCCCATGTTTGTTCTTTCACACGTCAGACATTTTCTTTCTCTCAAATAAATCTGGATTGCTGTCAAATCGCACCACTTGGAAATATCGCACTGTACTACATCTGTACTTTCCCCACTCAAACTGAGAACACCTCTGAACCAGCTTCCAGCATTCTCCTTGGTTACACCATGAGCTCACTGCAATAATTGATGCACCCTCTCCATGGTTACCTGCGGGTGTTTTAAAGGCCGGACCAGTATCAGGTTCTCTGCATCGCATGAGCCACGCTGTGGACACCACCACCTTGATCATACACTCTGCACTCGGGCAAACATGTGCAGAGAGTTGTGGGAACTGCAAATATTCCAACTGTGATGATAGATGAGCACTTTGACTGTAGGCAATAGACATTCTCTGTCGCTATATATATATACA